AAAAGAAGCAAGAAGGATGCTTTGTGGAGTTTTGGCCATTAAAAGGCACAAGGCTGAATTTCTGGCAGTTGTAGATCATGAACTTTACTCGCCATTTTAACCTTGAAAACTTGAGAACTGGACTTCCATCATAACATGACATATTTAGAGCTCTGAATCAGCTTTCCAAATCTTCAAGTGGTTCATCATTCGGAGTTTGGAGCAGAGAATTATGATCTTCTTATAATAGGTGCTCAGAACTGCCTGGCAGCAATGAAGTTCTGCCTTGTTCTTCAATTTCGACCAACCAGACTTGAGAATTGGATCTCCACCAAAACATAAAGTTTTTAGAGATCTGAATTAGCTTTCCAAATCTTCAAACGGTTAATCATTCGGAGTTTGGAGCGCAAAGTTATGGCCATTTTACCAAAGTAGGTCTGGGCGGAGCAAGTGAAGCATGGAGCTTTTTACACTAAATTCGAGTGCTCGAGGCCTTGCTTCGAGTGCTCGAATTTTGGGCAGATTGTTGTTCGGGAATAGCCCATTTCAGCCACTTGCACTCTACATTTACCAACTTTGGATTTCCCTATTGATGAGGTGGTTGAGGATGTCTTTTGGGGGAGAGAGAGAGGCCTTATCTATAAAAGAGAAGAGAAGGGAGGCCACACAAATTCATTATCCTAACTTTTGACAAGAGTAGAGAGGAGAGAAAGAGGAGCAAGAGAAGGAGAGTTCTTGGAGTTCTTGAAGGCAACAATGGAGTCTTCTTCGTCTTCTTCCATTTTTTTATCCATGGATAACTAAACCTCCATCTAGGGAGGTGATGAAACTCCTTTTTGTAAGCATGTCTAGTTTTTGATTTATTTTGGGGAATGAAATGTGTATTTGACTAGTTCCATAATCTAGAGTATGTTACATAATGTAATGGATGTTTTAATGTTCTAAAGATCATGTTGCATTAAATACTCTTGTCTTAGATGATTTAATCTCATGGTTGTATGGCTTGTAGTTTCATAGTGACAATGGAGCTAAGACTATGGAATGGTTTTAATGGCATGATTTTGAGTAGCTTGTTAATTTATTGCTTAAGAATTTCTTTTGATGGATTAACCTTGTGACTTGTTATCATGTGCTCTCATCAATTGATTACTTGTTTGACAATCTCTAGCTCAGTGAGCATGTTGAGGATTGCACCATAGTTTAGGTAATTTAAGCATGTGGAGCTTTGATAGGTTGTTCTTACATTTTAATTAATTGAATTTCTTGAAGATGTTATAGTAGTCATGAATTTCTATTCATCAATGTCATTTCTACATTAATTCCCCAAATCAATCATATAATTAGCTTGTGTAAAGGTTTGGAGTGGATTCACTTCCCTAGACTTCCTTCTCTAAATCTTTTCTTTTAATCTCCTTCAATTTATTGTTTTATGCATTTTGAATTTGTAGTTTAGTGACAAACAAAACAAACCCTCTATAAACACCCCTTATCACTCTAAAATGACTCTAGACACTTAGGTTGCCATAGATTAGCGCAGTCCCAGTGGTTCGACTTACCCGACCAATAGCCCTATTTTACAATGATTCGGGCTATTGCGAAGGTTGATGTTTAATTGACCAACCGATCATTGGTCTTGATGATTGGTACTCGATTTATGTGCTAGTTTGAGACCGGTTATGCCCATTTCATTGATTTGCTAAAATAGCAATATATTTGATGCCGGTTCACTCAAAAGGATGCTAGAGTTATTTTGATTTGCATGATCATCTTACTTGATGTGTGGAGGACCATATTTGTTTCTTCTTGTTGGAAATTTGGAAATTGCTTAGAGATAGTTAAAAAATGGCATACTTGAGGTAGTTTTCTTTCAATACTTGTTTTGAATGTTGGTGCCTCTTAAGTGAGAAAGTTGGGTATCATTTCTGGAAACCCTCACGAGACTTCACTCGTCCACTAGGGGTAACCTAGGAGTTTAAAAGGCTTGTTGCATATAATAAATGCAACCGTGATCCCTACGAAAACGATGTTATTCTTTTATTGCTTTCTAGTTCATAGTTGTTCATTTCTTTTTTTATATCATAATTCATTATTAGGGACTAGCAATATCTAAGTTTGGAGGTGTGATAAGTGCTAAAATGGTATTTTAGTCCTTTCATCTATCTTTACTTTCCCGCTTTTGTTCTAATTTATGTTTTTGTCGATTTCAGATCAATAAGTTTTAAACAGGCTAATTTCAGGTCATTAAAGCCTTTTTGGAGTTAAGCAAATGCATTAAGAAAATCCGGAAAAAGTTCAGAAAAATGTAAGATAGGGGCCTACGATCGATCGTGATTTCCTTGCGATCAATCGCAAATTCCACAACCGATCATGTTGCCACGTCATCGGATAAGCCATTCAGCCTTACCACATCATTGTTTGAAGTGCCACGTCAACATCACAATCGATCGTGAATTCTTTACGATAGGTCGTGAATCCTAGTCAGCACCGGCTCAGCGGATAAGGCAGCCAGTTGTCAAGATAAGAATGCCACGTCAACACGATCGATCGTAGAAATTCACGATCGATCATGAATCCTTGCGATCGATCAAAACCCTGCTGGTAGTGAGCTGTTTTATTCCCGGCTTAACTCGAACTTCACCTTCCAAATAGCTACGGGATTGGATCCTTTTGGGGCTTATTTCTGACTTGTTTTGCACTCCAAGAAGCTTGTGTAAAAGGGGAATTAAACCACTTTTGTAAGGGTTAGCTAATTTTACATAGAGATCAACTTTAGATATTTGAATTCTCTCTCTAGAATTAGGGTTTGGGGGAAGAAAAGAGGCAAGAACATCAAGATCTCTAGGGTTTCTACCAAAAAGACCAAGAGGAAGAAGATGAAGCCATGTTTGGGGATTGCCCTTGAGGGTTCCATGACCACATCCACCTCCTCCATGAGTGGCTAGACACCATCTTAGGGTTTGGATGAGCCCTAGGCTTGTAATTTAAAACTCAGTCTTTATCTTTTTGGGGAATTTATTGTTGTAATGGATGTTATAGCCTTGTGAATATATAAATCTTGGTTTTTCTTATGATTTCTATGGTTGAATCCTTTCTATTAATTCTCTAGATTGGTTGCATGTCTATGTGTGATTATGTAAGGATTATATCTCTATACTAGATACCTTTGTCTTTAGGATTTACTGATTAGTTATTTAAGGATTATGTCTCTATACTAGATACACTTGTTGATTAATATAATGGGTTATGCTTATTCTTGATAGATTGTACTACACCTTTAGTTAATTGTCTTAATTTCATTGTTTTAGTTAAATTGTAATGTAATTACATTTAAATTCCGAGATAGGTAGACAATCCATGCTTGAGTTTGATAATCCATGCTTATTGTTACAAGTTGCATGATTCTCTAGATTAATGTATACTACAATTCTCTATATTAATCTTGAATCAACCATTTGGCGATTAAGAGGTAATTCTAGCGCAATGTTTTTCACCCTTGACCACCCCATCTTTTTAAGAAGATCAAGTTCAGGATCTTGGGCAGAAAAGAAGAGAAGGAATAAGGAATAAAATAATAATATTATATATATGTATGGTATATTGCACAGCGCATAAAGTATATTTATTTATATTATTTATTGTCTCGGTAACTTTTTTGTTACCATCGTTGATGAAGGTGACGTGGCTCAATTATAACCATTAGGTACGTACCAGCTGGAACAGGTTAACTGCTCCAATGGAGAGAATTTTTGTCCTTTTCGTAAAACTCTCTCTAGTTCTGTACCACGTTTCTCTATCGTCAAAGCTTTTGGGTTGGTAAATTCCAAAAAAAAAAAAAAAAGCTTTTGGGTTGGTTCCATAACTTCATTTGATGCGGGTGCTGACGATGACTTCGGATTCTTCAAATCTGTTGGCACCTTCGCCTAAAGACGTCGTTGCCAACATTGTCATAATTCTCATTGCTGTTGGCACTGCCGACAACTTTGGCTTCTTCAAATCCGTCTTTGATGACTTTGGCTTTCTCATCGCTGCTCTCCCTCTCTCCCTCTCTGAATTCAATGGTTGTGTATATTTGGGTTTGTTTAAAAAAGAAAATTGAGGGGTTTCTGATTGACGGATATATTGGGTTATAATTTTTGATCAAATTTTGTTAAGTTCTTTTAAATTCTAGAGAGAGAGAGAGGGGTTTGATGAAATTTGCGAGTCTTAAATTATATTTTGGCTCTATCTCCCTCCATATATATATATATACACACACATACTGTGGAAGCCCCAAATTGATGCAAGTGAGAGAACTAAGAACAGATTGAGAACTAAGAACAGATTGAGTACCACTTTGAGCTCTGATCCGCTGATGACGATCTCGAACGCGGCACCGTCGTCGCCGACGATGACAACACCCTTCTGCAGCGCCTTCTCCTGGGCAATGACCCATCAAACCCCAAAAGTAGAAGGATCTCCAAGAAACCAGCCAGCGATTTCACAACACTTCTGCACCTTGCAGTTGTTTTTACCGGGGTGGGCCTGGAGTGTATTTTTAAAGCTAGGATTATAGTCTCCAACTTCTTGTTTTTCCCCTGCCAGGCCCAATCAATGAATCAAACCATCTCCTAAGACTCCTATCCACAAGGACCACAACGACCTTTAAACGAAATTATCCAAACTCTAGGGGACGCGGGCATAATTTGACCTATCTGCAGGGAGGTAACTGTAAATTACCCTATATTTATTATGTTCAACTTTGATAAAGAAAAAATAAATAAATAAACAAACAGAGAACCATCTACGAGATCTGCATAAATAAACAATCAATAATTAGTGTCCTGTGTTTGCGTTATCCTAAATTATTCAGTTTATCACCAAGACCTCATCCATCCACGGAGAAATATTACATCTAAAAGACCTAAAGAGGAAAGAGGTTATAAATGAACAATCTCAGGTGAAAACTTGTCTATGTTTCATATAAAAAAACAGTTATCTAAAATGCAAAATAAATAAATAAATCGTTGAACTACAGAATCCAGTTACTCCAGAAAATTGATCTTTAGTACTTTCGAAATATGTTGATCCATACAAAAAATAAAAGCAAAAAAAAGTACAAAAACACTGCAAAAATGCAACCTTTTATAACGCTAGAAGAATAAGAAGAATAATGTAGTAGAAATTTCAATTTACACAAACATCTCATAACCCAAAACAGACTACTTCTCTTCTGGTGGCATTACTTGCAAAAGCTCGACATTCAGTTGAAATGTAGCTCCTGGCTGCACAACGTACACCAAAGTAATTCAGCAAGAACAATGTCTCTAATTTTTTTCTTTCTTCAATGACATGAGCTCATGACCTGGGATAATGCATGAATCATCAAGATTTATCATGCACAAAACACATTCGGAGCTCAAATATGTAGGGGAGGGAACTTCATAAAGTGATAAATGAGGTGCGAACTTTAAATAGCTCCATTCATCAAAGGTAAAAATCTTCACAAAATCCATCATCCTATATCATTCACGAACAAGGTAAATTTAAAGAAAATGATAGATCAACACAACAGATGATATTGAATATTTGAAACTTCTCATTCTTCAAAAACACCATTTCAATTTTTTTCCAGTCATTTGTGAAATGCCTGATATTTTCCATAGTGACCTCATTACGTTGATGGATTTATATAAAATGAACAAAATAAAATTCCATGGGATGACCAAAGCACCTCAAGTGAAAAACAATCCTTTTAATCACACCCAAAGCTACCTCGGTGGTTAATATCATTAAGCCATATCAACATTTACTACTCTTTTCATCTTTATTTTTATCTTAACAGAGAGCTTAACAAGTTGATTCAACTCAATTTGACAAACTTCAATCTAATCTACTTAGGGTCAACCACTTAACAAATTAACTGATGAAATAATAGACAGATCCACATAGTAAGTAATATAATGATGAGCATAATTAATTGTTTACCGGTATCTCACTCATTCCCCTTTGGCCATACCCAGCTTCTGGTGGAATAATCACAGTCCTCTACACAAGAAGAAAAGTAAGATGGAAACGATTGTCTAAACTGAAAACAAGAGCATTAATTGAGAAGAGAAAGCCACTTAGGAGGATGTTATCACCTTTCCCCCTACTTTCATGCCTTCAGTTATCGAGTACATGGCTGCTGGAGGTTTGGGTGCAGCCTGGGCAGAGAATAGACCATTTGGATTGTCTACGAAGTCACGTTTCCTTTCTTTTCCTGGGGGAGCTCCAACCTTGAACTCGTAAGGCTACTTAGAGTACAAAGAAATGAAAGCCAGTAATTCATTCAGTCATGTCAGACTTCATAGCATTGTCCAGTGGGGATGAAATTATTTGACTGCATCTAAATATTGAGTTCAGAAGTTTTGAAATTTTATCTGGCTAGGCAGCTACTGATATTAGTTATTTGCCAGGGAGAAGAAATACCGTCCTCGAAATTTCAAAAAGTAAGAGTACAGGGCCAGAAGGCCACTACATCACGGATGCAAAGATAGTTGTTCATTAGAAGGCACATGAACTCAATCTACCAAACACGAATGTGATGCAGAATAAAAATAGTGTCATAGCATAATGAATGCAACATTCAACTTCTTCTGTTTTTTTTTTTTTTTTTTTTTTATTTTCTCTGTTGCAACATACTAAAAATTGTTATGTAGGTGTAAGGAAGCTCCAAAGATCACGGAGCAATATGCAAATATAGAAAAAGTTCTTTGCCCTATAGGTCAAGTTAGGAATAAGAAAAGCTACATATTAGAAGTCGGCCTGAATTGGGATTGTACTTTTGCTTGCCTTATTAAGGTCCAAAACTATATTCTAGGTTCTAAGAAAGCCTATTGCCCAGTACTAGTCCTGGCTTCGCAAGGTGTTGGGGAGGAGGAGACCGGATACTGTCATACTGAGCTAGCCTTTTGCATTATTTTTATTATTTTTTATGAAAATTTGGGCATCAATTTTGCTTAAAATGATATCAATGTTTGTAATGGTGTCTCTTTTGAAAGTATATCATTGAAACAAAGCTTTTCATTTTCTTTTAAAAAATTGTGAGAGTTTTTGTGGGAATGACAAGAAAGACAGTTGGACAAAAAGTAACTGAAACAGAGCTTTCTTTATCTTTTTCGAAATTGTGCGAGTTTTTATGTGCGCACCATAAAAAGCACATTGTACTGTGTTGTTTGTCATGGATTCACAGGCGCACATCGAACATGTACTAGAATAGTATTGGACATCTAAGTGGGTGTGGCGCATCCTACAACCAGCTGCAGCATTCGGGTTGGAAACTGCCCGTGACATAGTGGTACACTAAAATCCGTTAGAACCAGTCCCATCTGAATCGTACAGTTTGGTCGGACTGTAATGGCACGGTTTGATTGCAATTCAAAAATTAAAGAATCGTAATTATGATGCAGTTCCGGTTTGGGGTCCTGAAGGACCAGACTGTTGCTTTTAATTGGTAAACAATAACCCTTACCATACACTGTGATCTACAGTTTCTGTGACAGTTACTAACTACAAATCCCAATCTTAACACTCAATCTCTCATCTCAGATTTTCTTCCCAACCCCTCATCCTTGCTCCAACGCAAGCCCATCCTGAAGCTCTATGACCACTGATCTGACTACTTTACTTTTCTCCAATTCATTTCTCATGCTCATCTATGATTCTCATCTATCATAGACCCTTGCCTCACCTTTAACGCTCATCTATGATGCTTGCCCCTTCACTTCTACCTTCTCATCTCAGACTCTCAACCACTGAAAGCATCAACCCCTTCACTTCCTCCTCCTCATCTTAGTGAGTTAAGTGACCACTTCTAAAATCATGAGGGTACTGCTATAGTTTCTGTTGTTGCTTGCTTTTAGTTTTTTTATTTTTTTTTGCGGCCCTCCTCAAGTGAGTCAGGTTACTCTTCTAAATCATGGGGAGCCACGGGGTTTTGTTGCTTTTATCTCGATTCATTTACTTCCTGTGTTGGGATCAAATCTCTTTCTGAGTATGTAATCTGAATGAATGTCTTTGAGCTTATGATAACATCATGCAAATCCTTTTCGATACTAATCGAACCTTACTCTTACTCTATTTATTTTCTTTTAGTATCTCATCAATATTGAACAAAGAACTATTGAAGGGTTCAAATCCCTCTCTCTTTTTACTTGTTGAATAGATTCAACTTTAGCCATTAATTAGCTGTTTAGATGGCTGGAAAATTTCTGTTATGCACTTAATTAATTGTTTAGGATTTTTCTTTTAATTACACAAGTTTAGGAGTCCTTTCCAATTTATTTTGTATAATTTTTGTTTGGGACGAACTATTAGGGATGGCTTAGTCATTGGGCTGAATTATCAGAAAGCATAGAGCCATTGAACCGAACTGATCTAAATCAGTAATCTAGGATTTGGTTCTGCTGGTTTCAACAATTTTGTATGGATCTATGGAACCACTAGGACCGGTTTGGTTTTGGTTCATTGCAGAACCAGATCAAACTGGATTGTGTGAATCCCTACCGTGACATGTGGAATCAGAACCACCTCAGGGCGCCAAGTGGCAGTGTGGGTCCCCCTTGCGAGGGTGCAAGGGACAGAATGGGTAAGCCTTTCATGGACTCATAGTCTCACACAGGACATGCCCTCGAATGATCTTGGGCATATAACCGGGTGCGTCTCTTCCTCCCAACAGTTGAGGCTTTTGGGTTGGAAAACTGCCCGTGAGTTGGACCGTGACATGTTAATGCAGTAAGTCAATAGTAGCTAAAGTAGAGAGCATAAATCAACTACCAGTTTACCTAGTTCACTGTAGTTTTGAGGGATTTAATGCCTTCTTTGATGATTCTAATTTGTCAAAATAAATCTAACATCTAGGTTCTAGAACCTCTTGCTAACTAACCAAATGAAAAGGTAAAACCTGTGCAATGCTCCGATTTCCAGCTAAGAGTTTTGATTCCCGACTTGACACTGCTGTAATACCACGGTAAACACAGTCGAAATGCACCTGTAAATGTTGAAACCAGAAGAAGGTAAGTTGAAATCTAAGACAGGAAGGTTTAACGATCATTAACTTCCATTACAAACAAACCTGAACTATCGATCCTTTTTCAGCTATTGGACCTTTCCCTTCAACAACGTCATAGTATTTCAGTCCATCAGCTGCTTCGAAAGTAACCAATTAATAAAAGAACAATAAAAATAAACTGTCTATTTGTGTCAAATGCTTTTTGACATTATTAATGAACTTAATCTTACAATTTATATAGTTGCTAGTGTAACAATCATACACTCTGATGTGTCTCTCAGCAAAAGTATCTAAGATAATATACCTTTCGAGTTAACTAATTTCACTTTGACAATAGTTTTGGATGTGTATGGACTATAGACCAGGCAGACTTTTAGCAATGTTGATATATCAATGATTCCTTATGCTCCGTTTAAATAAGAGAGACGAAAGATGAGAGCAAAGGAAGAGTTGTCTCTAGGGAAACAAGAAGGCCTTCCTTACCGTTGGGCTGAATTGAATGGACGTGGTATCATATGATTCTATCATTAGACACTTCCGTATCTAAAAAAATAAGTAAATAAATAAAATAAAAAGAAAAGCTTTTCAAGGTCAAAAATGTAAGAAAGCAATACTCTTTTCTTCCCAGTTTCAAAAGGAATGTGTTGGATTCAAATGAAAGGGACTTCCCTCCCCCATCCCATACACCCACCCCCACCCCCTAAAAAAATAATAATAAATAAAGAAATCCCTCCTTTCCATTCTTCCCTTGTGCCAAATGGACTGTAAAGGACAAGTAAGCACCTGCTTCTGGAAGAAGCATGGAAAAGACTTCCCTGAGAACAATATTTTGAATGAGATGCTATTCCACAAAATTTTTAACTTTCAAATATAGGTTTTTTTATTTTTTTTCAAAAAAGAAAAAGAAAAAGAAAAAGAAAAACACTATTATGGTTATTGATAATTTAAGTGGCTTCTGCAAAGCTTTCTTTCCGAAAGATTCTTTCAAACATGTCGTCGCTTTAACATTTTGGAGTAAAATTAGAGCAGAAGATAGGGCATGGTAATTTTAAGACTAAAGCATGATCCTACGTCTAATAGCTGCATAAAATCAGCTTAGAATAAGATTAAGCACTTCAGTTTGCAACAATACCTCAACTAAGAAATTCTCAGGCATGATGAGAAGGTTGTTCCTGTTAGAAATAAAGAACTCTGTATTTTGTATTGATGTGTGAGATATGTTGATACATAGGGGTTTATATAGGTGACGAGATGTGTGGAGAGCAAGAAACCTAAACCCTAAATGGTAAACCTATACATGGTTAGAATATTTTCTACAATATAGTAACAATAATATATTTTACAATATATTCTAACAGCCTCCCTCAAAATCAAGGTGGATTAAATGAAACCATCTTGAGTTTGGAAATGAGATCTTGAAAGCGGCATAGCGGAAGCGATTTGGTGAAGATGGGTTTTCACCCATAATGAAGATGGAGACACGATTAACAGCTGACGTGGCAGGTGACATGGCACTACTACTGCCATCGTTGCTGACTGTGTCTGACATGGCAACTGACGTGGCACTACGGCTGGCACCGTTGTTGACTGTGTCTGACATGGCAACTAACGTGGCAGGTGAGGTGGCACTACTGCTGGCACTGCTGCTAACTGTGTCTGACATGGCAACTGTCGTTGCTGTGACGCACTATTGCTGGCACCACTATTGATGTGCCTTGGAGGCTGATTGGGCGGCCAAATAAGGCTTTTGCTGATTATGAACTTGAGACTAAATGTTGGGATGCGGAAGTATAAGTTTGAAGGTTGATTACCGAAGGTTGACTGCCAAGGATGGGGCTGATGGTGCCATCCCCAGCGGTGACTACGATAAACGGATAAGATTGTTAGCAGTAATCGAGAGGTTCTGATACCATGTTAAATATAAAAGAGATAGAAAAACGTATATGTATTGATGTATGAGATATGAAGATACATAGGGGTTTATATAGGTGACGAGGTGTGTAAAGAGCAAGAAACCTAAACCCTATATAATAAACATATACACTACAATATATTCTAACAGTTCCTTGTGGCAAAAAAGTTTACTCGCTTCTAGGGCCTAGGCAATCATAATATTTGTTTTCCACTAATCATTACCCATTTTATGGCTAAGGTGTCTTGCATCTAGTATTTTGTAGTCGAAAAAGGATAAGGTGTTCCAGCTTAATATAAGTTGAAGTTTAAGGTGAAAATTCTAGAAGAGACCTTTTTGATATTTAATATATTAATGAAATTAAAATTAATCTACGCCATATATTTTAATTTATTTATTTAATTATATTAAGTGGCTCAGTTGTTCATTAACTAAATCTTCTCGTAAATTTTTTGTTGTATTTTGTTTATTGCTAGTAACGAATTTATCAATAGCTCTTTTTTGAGATTGAATTAATTTATCTGTTTTCCTCCTTCCTTCTCTATGTTTTCCATAACAAGGTTCAAATTTTGTACCAGAAATTTATGAATAAAGTTACTTGCAAATAAAATAAAAATCCTTTATAGTGCTTGATTATTAAAATAAAAAAAGTAAAGTCTAATGATTATAAAGAAAAATGGCACTTGCTTTATAATTAATTAAAGGACAAGTATCTTCAAGGTCATAGGCAAAAGGTCCTTATTTTGTAGCTTGCAGACAACTTATCAAGTTCACAAATTTTGGAATCATATTCTCCATTTGCAGGTATCATGCTTACTATTTTGTAGCCAAAAATTTTGGAGTGATTTTCACTCTTAAGTCAGATAAAGATAACTTACCCCCGAAAAAAAAAAAAAAAAAAAAAAATTCAATAATCAGATTTGCAAATGTATGCTTAACAAGTGAGAAGAATTTTAGTAAAAGATAAAGAGGCACGAGAGAAACGAATTAATTGGAAGTGTGCTCTTTGATTTAGTAACACTCATTTAATGATATTTACCAACAACAAAAAATAATAATGACATGCATAAAAAACTACATTAAATAATATAGGGTTTTAGTGTCTCAATTTAGAGAAATAATCTGGATGTGATATGAAAACTTATAGCAACAACACCAATATGTGAATTAAACCTCTTCTGACCCATGAACAGCCGATATTATACAGATATAAATGAATTGTACCATTTGTTCACCCATTCCCACAAATTATCACATGGGTTTCCATTAGATTGAAATTTATACACAAGAACTCCAAGAAATTGAAGACATATATCCATGAGATATCAGTGCAAGAACATAATGAGTGACTTACAGCTTGTGAGGTAGTCTTCAAGAGGGATGGTCTTTCTGTTGCGCCTCTCTCTAGCATGGGAAGATGGTTGTGGGAGTGAAATGAGGCCTAAAGACAGGGTAGAGATCAGAATTGAAGATCTTCTGGAAATGGGTATTGGAAGAACAACTTGCTGTATAGGCTTATGCGTTGGGTATGTGGTGGCTTTTGAACAATGTTGAGGATTTTCAACTGTCCATCTCTTATAGTGGCTCTTTGTAAAAGCCATAGCCATTGGTCGCCGTTGGAGCACAAACTAATGGATATACTACATTACCAAGAAACCGGATATATATCTTTCTATGTCCATCATCCCCCACTACTGTTGCTTTTAATTACCGTTCTATCCTTCAAATTTGGAAACTTTTAAGTGTCTTTATTTTATTATTTAATTTTTTATTTTTACAAGTTAAGTAAACATACCCATTATTCACCATATGTCCTATTACAGGGCTAAATCACACCACAAATTTTTGCCTCTGTAATGGCACTTGGGCCCACCAAGTCTCAGCCAACACACAACACAATACACACAATATAGAAATATAAAGAAGGCACTCACAGTTTACAGCAATAAGCTCCAACCTTTGCTCATATTAAATATACTACAAAGGAACATGAGTTCATACAAGGAACCAAGGCTCACACCCTCCTATCTGTTCCCTCTACAAAGCCCACCTTAGCATTATATAGGCCACTCTCAAAACCGCCCATAACTGCCCACTAAGATAATGGATGACACCCCCATCCACCTAGGGTCATGCTGGCATCCTCTAAGTATGCCAGCACTATAATGCAGTTGACAAGCCTAACTGCTATGTAGTTGCCATGCTCTGCTCATGCCACATATCCCACAAGAAGTTGCACTCTGCATAGTGGAAGAAACCACCTCCAACCGCTTACTTGTTGTCATCTCAGATTTGTGCCACCTGCATGGGAAGTTAATCAGCACACCCCCACTTCCCATAATGAGTGGGGAAGTGCTAGTAACTTCCCCCCACCAACTGAGCCCACTTAGCCATCTTTTGTAACCGCAAGTCAGGACTTGTGTGGTCCATGCTTTAGCAACATCTGAGCCAACCTTGTGAACCTAGCCCTTGCCAAGTCCACCATTCTGCACCCACATGTCTCTGAGTGCATAGCGTGCCATGCCATGCACGCCCGTGTGCACACCCGAGTGCAAATCCGAGTGCACGTCGGTGCGTACGTTGATGCCAAGCCATGCACGCCCGTGTGCACGCCTATAAGCGCGCTGCTACACGCCGGTGCGTACACTTGTGCCCATCCATGTGCGCTATACTCGAACCCTCGTGTGCCCATGGCTACACGCCCGCCTGGATGCCTGTGCGCACGTCGGGCTGAACGCCCGTGCACACGGGTGCACACTTGTTTGCCCATCATTAGTTTAGTTGCTCCCCTCTTGTGCAACCATCTTGGAGTGGTGCAACACATGCCCATGCACGTTGGCTAAGCCCTCTAATCAAGCCATGCCATAGCCCAACTAATGTGCTCAACAAACCCCCCTAGTGTAGTCTTAAGGAAAATCAGCACTTTGACATGAGTAAACATCACCCATGCTTGAGAAGTCATAAAGGCCTTTCAAACCCTTCTCGACATCCAAATCGAGTGTCGTCTGCGCCAACCAACTTCTATGGACTCAAGGTACCTCCCATAAAGATCCTGAGTCAAAACTCCAATTTTCACGTTTTGCCATATTTACGAAAATGCCACTAGGCACCCCCAGTGCACGCCGAGCATCCTTTTAACCATCCTATGTCCACGCTGACAACCCACTGAGCATCGTCATGGCTATCTAACCAAAGCCAAAGTATTCCCAAGACATGGCATGGCCTTGAAATGCTCATGTCTTCCCTTGAACAACCGTCAAGGGGCTAACAAACCACCCCCATCAGGAGAAGTCGACGCCCTCATCGACTTGTCCAAGTACTCCCTTACCTATTTCTCAAACTGCCATAATGTCACATCCCTTTCCCAACTCGCCTCTGCTTCTCTGCATCCCTTCCACTGCACCAAGTAATTAGTTCTGCGATTTTTCTTACTCTGACCCTGGGTCCAGTGAGAAAATCTTCTCCACCTCCTTGTTAAATTGTAACCGAATAACAGGTGGGGCTCTCTTAGCCTGCTGTCTTGATGTATCTGCAGTGTCCTCATGAAAAGGAAACTCACATGAAAAGTAGGATGGACTTTTAGTCTCTCAGGTAACTATAATATGTAAGCAACATTCCCCACTTTCTTCACAACTTCAAAGGGACCATTATACTTCTGAAGCAGCCCTCTGTGAATAGTCTTGTTGCTTATCTTCTTCCAAATCTGTGAAGTCAATTTCAATAGAACTTTGTCTCCTACTTGGAACTCTAATGGCCTTCTCCCTTTATTTGCATACTTTTTCATCCTTCTCACAGCCTTTGCAAGGCTGTCATGTGCCTCCTCCACCATCTCTTGCATGGAACGGGCATATAGGTATGCTGCAGGGCATCTTCCACCGGTCCTCTGCACTGCCACCTCCTGTGGTGTGCGAGGTTGTTGCCCTGTTGCCAACTCAAAGGGACTCATTCCTGTTGCTGAAGACCTGTGCAAATTATAAGAAAATTGTGCAGTGTCTAGCAACTCCAGCCAATTTTTCTGACTTGCAGTGACATAGTGCCTCAGATATTCTTCCAATAACTGGTTCATCCTTTCAGTCTGTCCATCAGTCTGAGGATGGTTTGCTGTGGAGAACTTCAGTTCAGAACCCATTAAGCCAAATAGCACTGTCCAGAACCTTCCTGTAAATCTGGTGTCACGATCACTAACAATATCCTCAAGCAAGCCAAATATTTCACCACAAACTTATGAAATAAATCAGCAGCAACTTCCGCCGGGCATGCATGTGGTGCAGTAATGAAAAATGCATACTTAGAGAATCTATCTACTACAACAAAAATAGATCTCATACCTTCCATCTTAAGAAAACCAGAAATGAAGTCCATTGAAACTGACTGCCATGGACGTTCTGGTATAGGCAAGGGTTGCAGTAGCCCTGCCTCCTTCTTCCTCTCATGCTTGTCTTTCTGATAGACTAAGTAAGTCTCGACATATAACTCTATGTCATCCTCCATCTTGGGCCAGTAATATAATCTGGATATCAACGACAGCATTCTATCCACCCCTGGATGTCCAGCCCACTGAGGATCATGCATCTTCCGTATTAGTTCCCGTTTCAGCCCTCCAACAGGAACATATAATCTACCTCCTCTGGCATAGAGTAGATTATCTTCAATCCAGTACTTCCTGACTTCACCATCAGTAACCTATTGCTTAAGTTTCTGATAGGCATTGTCGGACTGTGATTGCTATCTGATTCTGTCAAGGAGATCAGTATACACCGTGGTTAACGACGCTACATACTCCTGCACTTCTTTCCTACTCAAGGCATCAGCAACCTGATTCTGCTTTCTAGGTCTGTGAACCCACACAAAATTGAACTCCCCAAGAAACTCTTGCCAACGAGCTTGCTTTGGAGTAAGCTTTTTCTGTGTCTTGAAGTAGGTATTGGCCACATTATCAGTCACCACTGTAAACTTGGTACCCAATAGATAATGTTTCCATGCGTCAAGACAATATATCACTGTAGTCATCTCCTTCTCGTGAGTTGCATACCTCTGCTCAGCATCCTTAAGCTTCCTGCTTTCAAAGGCATATGGGTGTCCTTCTTGGACTAGGACCCCACCAATTGCTCTGTCAGAGGCATCAGTATGCACTTCAAATGGTAAACCAAAGTCAGGCAGTCTCAAGACCGGTTCTGTAGACATTGCCTACTTAAGCATCTCAAAAGCTTTATGGCACTCCTCAGACCAAACCCACTGTTTGTCCTTCTTCAGCAAGTCCGTTAAAGGACTGACCTTCTTGGAATACCCCTTTATAAACTTTCTGTAGTAGTTTGCCAACCTTAGAAAAGATCTCAACCCTGTCACTTTGGTAGGTGCAGACCAATCAAGGATGGCTTTCACCTTTCTCTCATCCATTCTGACATGGCCTTTACTGATCCAATGCCCCAAAAACATCACTTCTTGGCGACAAAACTCACACTTCTCCTTTTTGACATATAACTGAAACTCCTTCAGTTTTGAGAAAACCAATCTCAAGTGTTTTAAGTGATCTTTCAATGACTCACTATAGACTACAATGTCATCCAAATAAATAACAACAAAACGATCAATGTAGTCATAAAACACATTATTCATTAAGTTGCAGAAGGTTGCTGGGGCATTAGTTAGCCCAAACGGCATTACAAGAAATTCATAAGACCCATAACGAGTTACACATGCAGTTTTGGGTTCATCTCCTTCTGCTATACGCACCTGCCAGTAGCCTGCACATAAATCCAGCTTAGTAAAGTAGGAAGCCCTTGACAACCTGTCAAATAAATCTGCGGCATTGGGCACTGGGTACTTGTTCTTCACAGTCACCTTATTTAGAGCCCTATAGTCCACACACATCCGCATTGAGTCATCCTGCTTCTTCTGGAACAACACTGGCGCGCCATACAGTGCCTTGGATGGTTGAATATAGCCAGACTCTAGTAACTCATCCAACTGTCTATGCAGTTCAGCCAGTTCTGAAGGCGCTATCCGGTATGGGGCCTGAGCAGGAGCCCTAGCACCAGGCTCCAACTCTATCTTGTGATCAACAGCACGTCGAGGGGGCAATTGCTTCGGTAGTTTTGGTGGCATCACTTTTGCAAATTCCTCTAGAATTTCTGCAACAGAATCCGAAACTTCAATAACTGGTCCGGTTTGATCTCTATCATAGCTGCAAGAAAGGTAGAGTCTCCCCTCTTCAAACCTGTTTTCACTTGTAATGCAGAAATTATTTCGATGCAGCCATATTTACAATCTTCCTTCTTTTGGTGCCCATAAAGAGCCACTGATGGAATAAAACACGGACAATCCCTGTCCCAAATAAAAACTCCTCCCAACTATGGCACAACTACCACTCTGGCTTTCGTAAGGAACTCAATTCCAAGAATTAGATCAAAATCATCTAAGGGTACAGCCATAAGACTAACTACGCCCTCCCAACAACCAACTTTTATAGAAGTGGTGGCCATGCCTAAGATAGGCTTGGCTTCAGAATTCACAGCTTTCATCTTATTAGCAGGTGGAATTAACTTTAAATTAAAGTTACTTACTTCCCTCTGCGCAATGAAGTTATGAGTAGCCCCCGTATCCACCATTGCCAAAACATCCTTGCCGTTCAGCGTCACCTGAATGAA